AAATGCTGTCCTTCTGATGTCTCATGGTAGATTGATCCAAGTGGTGCATCCGGCTAGGGTAGGTGGGTGTACCTCCCTAGGGTAGGTGCTCTGCTTGTAGACCTTTCCACTATTTGCCTGAGAGCTAACCTATGGAAGTGAGTACAGTACCAGGCCCAAAGGATCATGTGGGGCCATAGTCCCAGGGTTCTACCAGTCTCTAACTGACCAGTAACTCTGGGCATTTTCATGTTTTTGATTTTTGTTCCCCTTTTTCCCTCCCGCTCTATCCAGGATCTCCAATTTTAATCCCTTTCCAAGTGGTTGGGATTGGTAGTTGGGCATAATCTAGTTCTTCTGGTCTCAGGGTCATGAACACTGAGGTTTCCATGGTCCATCATACCCTTGGACTAACTGTTTCCAAATGCTGACCACCTCACTCTTCCTCAAACACATCAAGCACACACTGGCCTCTGGGCTGTTGCATTATTCTTTCTGCCAGGAACTCAGTTCCTCAGATATTTGCTTGGTTCTTGTTCAGTTCTCTGGTTATATATTTCCTCCTCTGAGTGGTCTTCTCTGACTGGCCTATCTAAAATAGCTGTCACTACCCCCTACCCTGCTTGGTTTTCTTCTTAGGACTTGCCACTACCTATCTTATGTATCTAATTATGTATCTGTCCACCTGACTAGAAAGTCAACCCTCCGAGGGTAAGAACTTGGGTGCCTTTTTCACCATTTTGCCCCCAATATATAGAAGAATGCCTAGCAGACTTACTGGTCTCATAGAGACTGGTCAACTCTCCAAAGTTGTGGCCCTTGGTCACCCTTCAAGCCTGAAACTAAACTCACTCCTATGGCTCAACTTCCAGGAAAGCAAAAATAGGCCTATAAGATAAATAATCACACTGGAAAGATATAGATGTCTTAGAGCAATAGGTCATACAAGACAAAAAGAGCAGCATTTGCTCAGAAGGCAGGAAGGAATAGGAAAGAAGGATGAATGGAAATGAAAAACACAGGGAGGAAGTAAAAAGAGTACTGTTATATTGTGAGGACTGCTCTGTAATCTTTCACTCAAATCACAATACAAAGTTAAAATAATAGCAATAATGCCTAGCAGAGCAGCATTTGTAAACGTTTGGTGAATAATGGAAGAATGAGTGATTCAGAGGCCCAGACATGAAGCACAACTCTTGCAAAAGCTCCTTGGAAATCACAGATGACTTTGAAACAAGAATTTTATGATGAACATTGACAAAGTAGAGAGCATTGCATGCTGAAGACCATCCAACTCTTTGGGGTGGACTTGGGTCCAGCCCAGCCAATCACTATTTCTCAGTCAAGGGGCTGGAGAATTCTAAGTGGGGTGATTCATCTCATGGGCTGTCCCACTTTATACAGGGTAGCATTCATGGTCTCAACCAACTAATTGCCCGCAGGGAGCCTCAATCTTTACAACAACACAAACACCCCTTGCATTTCCTTCTTCTTCCAATGAAGACTCACCTCCATCCACACCCATGATGAAGCGACCCACGATGAGCATTTCAAAGGCTCCTGCCTTCTCAGAACAGGCCATCAGCAATGCAGCAGAAATCGCAAACCCATTGTTGATCAGCAAAGTGTACTTCCTGGGAAAGAAGAAGGGGTTTGATGAGGACACTCACTGTAAAATGAGTCACTGGCCTGTCCGTCTCAGAAGCTGAGGTCAGGCCCTTCAGCAGGATCAGCAGAGTGATAGTAGGCTCAGTAGAAAGATTATTGGCCTAGGGGTCAGGAGTGTGGGTTTCAATCCCCTAGCTGTCACCTTCTGGTAATATGACCTTGAGCAAGGCAAGGCAGGTCCTCCCTCTATTGGAGCTGACCAGTGCTTTTCCAAAGGCACTGTCAACCTTTTGATGTACTAGGAATGCCCTGAAACAGTATTTTATTTCCTCGACTCTAACATCGTCCCTTAACTTTTCTGAAACCAAGATACATCTTACAAATTCATAAGTTTTAACCAAGAGAACTTAATGTAGCTGTTTTAACTGAAAGAATTTAATATA